GAGGGATTCACTCTCCTTGATCGAACAAATCTTGATTCCATTGGGCTCGCTTTTCCAAATGAGGATATGATTATCGAACAACGGTCTATATAAATACCACGTGACTCCCCTAAATCACCTGAATATGTCTATAAATTAGAAGGTTGCGTGCCGATTCTACACATCCACCACACACATATTCCAATTTACTTAGTGCATCGACATAGTTGCTCTGGCAAATTGTCTGGTGAACTAAATAATGATTAACAACACAGAAAAAATTGCAATCACGCTCTTCCTACTTTGAATGGATTGTTAGTTGAATCTCCATTTTAAATTTTCTTACCACACAAGCTCTCAAACCTGAATATTTTTCTGTCTATAGAAAGTGAATCTACAGTTCTTTCTAATCTGTGCGCACAATTAATTTAGAAGGAATTCTTTTCTATGAAAATACAAGTTTGTGGGATTTATTGCTAAAAAATTTTGAGAGAATCGAAGCCCCTGTGTGGTCTAGATTAAAATTTCAAGTCAAAATTAACAATTAATTTTAAAGACAACTTTTCATTCACACATTTTATCAACTTTTATCAAAATCTAATTTTAATCTAAGTGTATTCTCGAAGTTGTTGGAATTAATTAGCTATATGCAAAACAGTTAATTTTAGCAGACGATATTGTATAACCTCATTCTAGTAGTCTTTCATTAGAGAAAAAATTGGCAGGTGCAATCAAGAAAGAAAATATCGGCTATATGTTCATCTAACACAATTCAAATTCACAAGAATACATACTGTATGTATATATTCATATAATAGACAAAAGAATATCAAATATAAAGTTTTTATATATAATCAGTACTCTTTTGGTACACTTTTACATCAATGGACAAATTGAGTTTCAGATCACCATTTCTTGATCTTCTCTAGGTCGATTGCTGGGACGAGACACTATTACTATGTCTAATTTGAATAGCTCAGGAGGGATAGACAAGGAAGGAGAACATGAGTAGGGCGGGAATGAAAAACGAAAATGGCCAAATCTTACACCGGAAAACTCCGGTATAAAATTTGAAACACAACAAAAATTGATGGTAGAAAATAGTAGGAGGGGTCTTACAAGGTCAAGAAAAGGTCTTACAAGGTCAAGAACATAAAACATCGAAGAAAAACAAAAGGCAACAGGTCAAAAATTTAAAAAAAATAAAGGGTCGGAGTAGTAAAAAAGCTCAGGTAGGATAGCACCAAATTAAGACGAACATGCAGTGAATTGAAGGCTGTTTTTCACCATTGGATCAATCAAGATTTCGTCGTCTTTCTGATCAAGGTTTCCTGTTTTTCGAAGCTTTGATGCATCCATGAATATGGATGGCCTCACCATACCTAAAGCCTGCAACCAAGATGTTTTCATGAATAAGACAAATATGGATTAGTTTTTGAAGCCGCTGCTTTCGACTGTATGTCCCGACTTACACGTTATCGAAAGAAGCAGTTAAAAAGCAACTTTTAAGCACAACAGACCAAACTTTTTCATACCTTATATTTGAAGAAATTTTAGTGTTGCTTACAGGAAAAAATTGCAGAGAGAGGAATGGAGGGAATGAAAGAGGAATGAAGAAAGAGTGGAGTAACGTGGGCTTTTATGGACAGCCAGTGGGCTGTCTTAATGGGCCAGACAGAACCAGGTCCAAGGCCCAGAACGACTGCAAAAATGATCCCTTCATGACGTCAGCACTTGGACCACAAATCATTGCCCGCCGAGCCTGACCGTTCTGCCCCACCACCCTTATTTGAAAATAAAAAATTCTTGGTTGGCAAAATTATTGCAAATATTTATTTGAACAAATAAAATTGAGAATAACTTTTTACCACATTCAAGAATATTTTATCAGAATGAAATTATTTTATAGCAATATTTATCGTACTGAATATTTTATTGACTTTAATATAGATTATTTATAACGATTCTCCTCGTGGATATCTTAATAAACTTGTGCAGCTTTCAAAAGTTTCTAGTAAAATTTGATTGTTTCCTCGACTTCATGATTAATTAAGGTAAGGATTCCGAATAATTAATTAATTAGATAATAAGACATAATTAAGGCAACAAGGGACGACATAATCCAAGAACTACCACAATTTGAACAACAATTTCTTAGGATTCTAATAATTTATAGGGTAGGTGGCAATCTTAAGAATTCCTAATCACGATTAATTTTAGTATTTTCGATTGTAATGACTCGATTAAATAATTATTGATGTTCATGTTGCTAAAGAAAATAACAAAAATTCTTGCTATAATGATTAGTCAAAGAAAGGCCTAAAATTTCTTACAAAGCATTTGTTCCCATGATTATGTTTAAGATTTTAATTTTTTTTTTT